AAAAGGAAGAGGTAGACAAGTGAGTGGATAGTTTTTAATAAAAAAAGAACCCATAGGGTTTCATACAAAAACATCTGCACGTATCAAGAGCGCATTACAAACATATTTTCTCACAAATGAGTCATTAACAGTGATTTCCCTGCGCCCTGAAAGAACAGAAGTTGTGAATTCACAGAAGTGGAACTCTTAAATGAAATGTTGTCTGGGACAACTGCAGATCAGATACAAGGATCCTCAGATAAAGTGCGTTCCATCGAGAGCGTGTGGTATGGACGGCACTCGCAGTAATTAGCACCAGTCACCAAGCTGTGGTGACTGGTGGAAGTTGGTGGAAGTTGCATATCTCCACATCAAAAACATTGTTCAGTTGAACAGAGTCTTCTGGGCAGTAGGAGAGTCAAAAGCGATCAAAAAGTGCAACAATATAGGAATAAAGGACTTTTTTCAAACACTGGTAACACTACTGACATTTAAGGAAGAAATTTACATGCTGTGATTCTGAAAAGCAACAGTGTTCCCAACAATTTCGTAACAGCGATGCAAACTGAGTGGACTGGTAAAAGGATGTTTCCTTTTGAGTAGTCCTGTAAAAATACAGTCTTGGAGTGCAATGAGAAAAAGCCACGGTGCCACAGCAGGCCAGTGCTCGGCCCAGTAACAAAGTCATAGTGGCTGTAAATGGAGAGTCTCTGGAAAGGGCAGCTTATTCAGAAATGCAGCATATCACTGTGCCATCGGGCCTCAACATCTCTGGTCTGAGGAGCACGAGCAGGAAGACTCATAAGCGATGAAGCAGGTTGAAGGCAGCTGACATAACAAACGACCAACATTTCAGTCCACCTCCACACTCGTGCCTTTACTTCTCCATCCAACCTCCTCTGGAGTTCAGACCTTCTGCCTGTTTTCAAGTTTGGTCCTTAACAGGTGGACCACAGTTCCACGGTTCCCACTGGTGGACTTCAGCCGACCGGCAGCATGCGAGCATTGCCGTTGAACTCCTCCTCCGCCTGAAAAAACACGTAATTCCTTTTAGTTATCTCAAGGAACGCAACTTCTTACTAACAGGACACTTTTAAGTTACCAGAGATGCTTACCTCACTGTAGGCTGGCGGCGCTGGGTACTGGAAGGCTGGTGCGTTCATAAAGATGGGACTGTCATCGCCGTCAAAGTCATCAAGGAGAGGTGTGAGAGGCTGGTCTAGGCGGCAGTCCCGGGTCACGTCGCAGTAGCTCGGAGGTTCAGAAGGCATCCTGAGAGACACCCAGCTCTGGGAGGCAGTGCTGGCTGAACTGTCCTGGCTGCTCACACTGTTGCTGCGGCTGCCCAGACCGGCAGTCCCAATGACCAAAGGCAACTCCAGGATCAGCTTGTCACTACCAGGAATGTGTACGTAAATCTATGATGTAGAAAAACACAGTTATTAACACCAATGTTTACGAGATAAACACCAAAACTTTCAGAAACTGAAGGCTCACCATCAGAGCGTACTCCACGCGGATGATGTTGCAGCCCAGCATGGATGGTTTGATCTTCGGTACCCTGATAGTTTTTCCCTGCCAGGCGTCGCACATCCCAGAGATGATGTGGTTACCACGCACCGAGGACAGCTTCTGGCGTAGGATCTTGGTGCGGCCGTTTGCCTGGTAGGTGTGTTTGGCTATGATGGCAGCCTTGGGCACAACAATGCGGGAGCAGGTGTTCTCAAACTTCGCATTGATGCAGATCTCTTCGCCTTCACAGAATCCACGCCGGTCAATTTTTGCATTCAATGACACCTGACCGTCAGGGATGAACATGCAGGTGACTTTCTTCTCCTTCATGCCACCTGCTGGAGACTGAAGAGCAGCAGAAAGGCTGTTCGGTTATGCAGTCCCAAGCTTCAATGACAAAAACACTGACTATGTTCTGGCATTAGTGAACTCACCAGCAGGTCTGGGGTGTTGACATCCAGTGGCTCCTCCACCTCGAAACATTTCTTGCACTCTAGCACGGGCTGCTGCGGCCTCTCCATCAGGGCTTTGACACAGTACTGGACGTAGCCGAACTTCCCCTTGTATGACGACACCAGTTGCCTGTAAGAACCGTTATTGCTCCATCACTTGTAAGTCGGTGGAGAGGTGCACACTGCATCTCTTTAGATAACGGAAAATCATGCGTCACATAGCGCATCCTCACCCTTGCTGAGGGAGCTCGAATCCAAACGTGTACTCGTACTTGTTGCCAGGTCTCAACACCACGGAGCCGTCAGAGTCTGGAAAAGAAAGTAAACCGTTTACAGCAATATTCATGCACAGCAGGTTTCACGGCTGCCCTGACAATTCTTACAACACCCACAAACATGTTTTAAGCCGGTAAATGTCGAACACACATTCCAGGATATCCAGCATAAAGGTAATTCCCGTACCTGTGGGCTGGTCTTGCAGCCGCAGGACCGTTTCATGTCTGAGGTACTCGGCCTCCTGTCGGCACCGCTGCTTGCCTTTAGCGTACTCCACCTTGGCGCAGCCCAGACCCAGAAGCTTCAGCGCGGACACCCGCATCATTTCGCTGACTTCCACTTCGACACGGCCGGACACCGTGTCTCCGCCGCAGTAAAAACTCTTACTGGGATCGGAAAAGATTATCTGAAAGATTTTAACTTTCTTCGTCATCGCCACCATGATTGACGACCTCGAAAATGGACAAAATGAGCTGAATCGTGAAACTTCACAAATAAATCCCTTGGAAACTACCGATAATCCAAACACGTCGAGCGACCGATTCACTTTGCTGTAAACAAAGGGAGGAGGCAGTTTTTATGAGCGGGGCACGAGGAGGCAGAATGAACAGCATGGCTCAGTGCGTGCACACCGCTCTGATTGGTGGAGAAAACTTTGTTTGTGTCAGCCCTGCCCAATCAGCGCAACGAAACAACGCGTGTACACCGCGTGGCTGGGAGAATGTACAGCGTGCTCAGCAGATGCGCGCACAGGAAACTGGAAGTACACCGAGAGAACATTGCATTTATAGTAAACACGTTAAAACGTGTGAAATCTTGGCCTGACAATGAGTCAACCCAGTATCACATGTAGGGGAAACTTGAAAGCTCACAGTATCACAAACGACACCCTTTTAGCTCCTACCGCAAAGCACACTGTGCGCTGTCGATCTTACGTGCTGTTTAATATTTAGTATTTACTGTTATATTCACATAGATCATCGCGATGTTGTTTATTATGTTGCTCTTTTCTTTCTTCTGCCTGTTTTCTCTTTTTCTTTCTCAACAGGTGATTGATATTTGTATTTTTTGTCTGCTTATTTTGTTGGTTTTTGTTTTTTGCCCTTTATCTCCGTCCCTCTTCCCCGCTGTTTTTCTTTCCCCTCTTTCTTTCCCCCAGTCAAGTCTGTCCCGTATTTAACAAGTAAAAATAAAATAAACAATAAAAGGTGAATCAATTATCAATCATTATGGCAAGGCTGGGATGGTCCATTTGGTAAAGTAAATCTGTTGGGCATCTTTCTTCGCCTTTAGACAAGAATTCTGATGGCGAAAGAGCCAAACGGGACAGGCAAAAAAAGAAAGCTCACAGTATCACCAAATACTTTGATAAAGTAGAATAAACGAAACAGATTATAATCACTCGCAAAAACAAAAATACATAAGGCACATGAAATTATAAACCTATTGAAATATTTAATTTTTGAACATCTTCAGTTTCACTGTAGCCTTTTTTGTCCAGTAGCTGTTTTAAAGAATGAATCGAACGCTCAAGGTTTCGAGGTCAACACTAAACAGAGGGCTAAAACTGGATGGATATCCTTTATATGAGCTTCAGGGAAATAAGGGAGTGTTTTGTACAATATAAGCATTTAAAAAGGGAAGTATAATACTGAGTCTTGGTCTAAAACAGGGATGTCAAGCTCATTTTATACTCTTACCTTACATGGATGAGTCAAACTAATTTCAGTCAGTGGCAAGAGTGCAACTATACGTGCAATCAATAAGATCTTTTAACATAAGACAAAGAGCAGCAGGTTCAACATTTCTCAGTTTTTCCTGTAGCAAAAGAAAGAAAGCGAATGACTCTGAGCTTAACCTGCAATTAGTCATGTGCAAAAATAATACATTGAAAATGTAGTTACCTTGGTGTACTGTTAGTGGACACATGGGAGGTTTTCATGAGAAAGAAAGTAAAACTAAAACCTGTGAAGACAAGTATAGACTAAAGAAAATGTATGGCCTCAGGAAAACCCCAACCTAGCCAAGCAGGCTGGGTTGGGGTTTTCCTGGCCCCCAGGCCTCATGTTTGACAGCACTAGTCTAGAAGATGTTAAAATAGCCTGTCCCAACAGCTTCATGACAGCCCATGGAGAAATCTAGCCATTTCTAGGTTAAACCTAGTATTGGAGAACTCCCAGCAGCTTTCTTAGGAACGTCGATATGGTGTCTGGTTCCTGCACGAAGCCGTTCTGAGCTCTGTGAACTTCAACCTACTTTTTGTAGGTTGTACTTGTTAGGTTCAAGCTAATGGAGTACTGCTGCCTCCTAGTGGAGAAAGTAAGCTACTACAGTATACCAGCGCCCTCTGCATCAAGATCAAACACCCAGTATCAGTGAGTGCTAGTCTCAAGTTTAATAGGACAGTGCAGGAATTAAATCTATGACAAGGCAAGATTTTAAAAATAAAACCTTGATCTTTTCTTTAAAAATAGTCAGTGATAAAATAAAAATCCCCACGTCCCTCAGTAGGTTCTGGAACCATCAGACCTGAACACGTGTAAACTAGGGGTGTCAAATTATCGCGTTAATTGCGATTAATTAATTACAATGCTATTTAGCGCGTTATGTTTTTTAATCTCGTTAATCTAATTTTAATCTCTTGACGTCATTGATTTTGTATGAGAGTTGCTATGTTATAAAATCCGTTTTTATGTGCTGGGCTCCTTGTGCTTGACTTGTTGGGGTGGAGTCACGTCGTGAGGTCAAGGTGAGAAGTGGTGATTAGCTTACAGTGTGGATATGGAGGCGCATCTGAGAGTTGTTGGCCCAATGAACGGGAAATTTGTATTTCATAAACGCCCCGACGGCACCATTGACAAAGGTAAAGTGGTCTGCCTAGAGTGTAAGAAGGAGTTTGCTTACCACCGAAGCAGCTCAAGTTTGGCCTATCACCTCAACGCAAAGCACCCAGCCGCGAGTGCAGCAACAGCTAGCAGTGAAGACGTTAGCAATATAGCAAGCCAGAGCAAAGCTTTTCGCCAAACAAAACTAGAGAATACCCCTCGTATGAGCAAGTCTGCGACCGACAGGCTGACTAATGTTATTGCCAAGTGGATAGCGATGAACTGTAGGCCGATAAATATAGTAGAGGACGAAGGATTGACAGAGGTGTTGCAAATTGCGTCCAATGACCCGTCATACAAGCCACCGTGCAGGACTACAGTAACGACCAAAATCAGCAAAATGTACGACGGCGAAAAGAAAAACAAACTTGAGATTTGCTATAACCGGAGATCACTGGACCTCAGCTGGCAACCACAGCTATTTTGGGGTGACTGGACACTTTATTGATAGTGAGTGGAACCTCAACTCATTTGCACTGACTGTCATGAGAACAGAAACCAGGCACTTTGCTGATAAATGCGCCGAACAGTTCCTCAAGGTAGCAAATGACTGGGGTATTGAAAACAAGATATCCACCATTGGCACAGACAGCGCAGCAAACATGCTGGCTGCTATGAGAGCACTTCCATATGAGCACATCGCCTGCAATGCTCACATTCTCCAGAGGACCATCACGGTATGTCTCGATAGCAGTGGTTTTGTCGGTGTACTGGCAAAGTGCCGCAAGATTGTTGGTCATTTTAAACAAAGCCCTGCGAGTACCACAGAACTTAACCAACAACAAGTAGCACTCGGAAAGAAGAGCGATCAACTTATACAGGATGTACCCACCAGGTGGAACTCGACTCTCGCAATGGTCTCACGCCTCCTATGTAACCGAGAGGCTGTCCAGGCTACGTTGGACCAACAGAACCACAGGTTGGTCTTGCCAACCGAAGCTGAGTGGGCGAAACTGCAGAGGCTGGAGCTCCTGCTTGAACCATGCAAGTAAGTTCAAATAAACACCTTCCCATTTTAATTATATAAACTACTGTTACATGTGTAAAATCAAAATTAATGAACATAACAAGGAACTTTTAAGGACAATTAAATTGGAAATCAGTTACACTTTGATTTAAATGAATCCAGCTAGGTTTATTTAGCAAACCTCTCCACCTCTGCAGGTATGTGACAGAGCTGCTGGGTGGTGAGGCCTACGTCTCTTGCTCTGTAGTGCTGCCTGCTTTTCGCCATCTGTACCGTGTCATGGACATTACTGATGATGATCCTGCCTACGTGGTGAAGTTCAAGAATGCCTTCCAGAAGGATCTGGCAGCACGACGAGCTAATGGCAACGAGATATGGTTCGAGGTGGCCACAGCATTGGATCCACGGTTTAAGGATTTGAAATGTCTTCCAAGAGAAAAGAGGGAACAGGTAGGACAATAAGGTTAAGCTGGACTAATGAGTCCAATTCATTATCAAATCAAACTTTTATTTATTATATGGAACACAAAGTTCTTTACAAGATTAAATAAAATAAAAAAAAGCACTTAGTTTTAATCACATTCATTCATTCATTCATTCATTCAGGTGTGGACCATTCTGGAGAATATGCTCCAGGCAGCAGAGCCCAGAAGAGCAGATAGTCTCCAGCCCTCCACAGAGGATGATGGACCAGCTCAGAAGAAGAGGAGGAGCGAACTCCTTCTGGGGTCTGACTCTGACTCAGAAGATGGAATTGAGTCTGGAGAGCTGCAGCGCTACAGAGCAGAACCCAGCATCAGTATTGATGACTGTCCCCTGCAGTGGTGGTATGCTCACTCAGGAGTCTATGAAAAGCTGTCAGTCCTAGCACAAAAGTACCTGGCCTCCCCAGCTACCTCTGTACCCTGTGAGAGACTCTTTAGCCTTGCAGGCCACATAGTGCAAAAGAAAAGGGCAGCCTTGCTTCCAGAAAATGTTACCAGGCTGGTGTGTCTTAGCGACTGGCTGAGGAAGAAGAAATGAGACACATGTGGTCAGCATAGCTGCTGTGTCATTTGTAGCCTACTAGAATAGATTGCTTGATGTTCAGCACTTTTTTTTGTGATGGAAGAATACTTTGATGTGCTAACTTGCAGCACTGCAATGTCAGTTTTATTTTTCATTATCTGAAGCAGAGGAATTTCAGTGCTGTATTGCTCAGAAAAGAGCAACTCTGATGTGCTAACTTGCAGCACTTAATTTATTTGATTTTATTTGTATTTATTTTTCCACTTATTTTACAAAAGAATACAACAGTATGTAAATGGTTGCATCTGTTTAACGTTTGTTAAACAATAAATGACTTTATAAAGTCACTTTCTTTGTTATATCAGTCTTTTGGTCTGCCACAATAAGTTGAGGGCTTTCCTCAGCTATTTTTAGGTGAGATTAAAAAAGAGATTAATTAGATCAATTAATTAAAAATCATAATTAATTAATCTCTATTTTTTTAATCTCTTGACAGCACTCGTGTAAACATCAACCCTCAGACATCCATGTCCCAAAATCATCATGAAGTACGGAGCTTTAAAATGTATTACCACCAAGTATTCATTGACCTTGTTTCTGCAAGCCAAAGACTTAAACAAGGTCCAAACACAAGTGCCAAGTCAAGGTTTGCTGTAACACGACATCCTTTATTAAATCCTCATTTGCAAAGGTTACAACACGTTTCCTCCAAAGCCAGCGTCAGCCTGGAGAACCGTCTCCTCTCAGGAATCACTGATCCACTCCTGAAAGGAAAAGAACAGATTTCAGACACAGAATGACTGCAGCACCGTCACTAAGTGAAGTCAGTGACATCAATTGTGTTGAATATGTCAGCTGCTTAGCTCGACTCTACAGTTTGTCACTACACTCAACTACTGCCCCAATGGGCTAGGCGTCGTTATAGCAACAACATCATGATCGTTTACCCTCACCCCAAACCAGTCACAGGAGACGACTGCCACCCCCTGAGCCTGGTTCTGCTGGAGCTTCTTTTACATTAAAAGCACCTTTACTGTGAACTGGCCTTACAGAAATACATTTTTATTGAATCAAAGTGACTGAGCGACACCTTCCTGAAAGTGAAGCCTCAACATGTCACTAATCCTGGAATTTTGCTTTTTCATATACCCCTCAGGAAATGTTCCCAACAGGTTCTTCTAAGCTGGTTGCTTGAGAAGCCCACTGGGATGGCTTGCTTTTTGGTCATGTCCACAGCTAAACAGGAACACAGAATCCTGACAGCCTTGGTTCATGACCACTTTGACACACAAACACTACTTACAGCGATCAGCTGCAGTCCTTTCCATGCAGGCAGGACAGCCTTCAGATTCTGAAACACATGGGTTTACAATACAATTTTATTTATATAGCACATTTAAAAACCCGAAGGCACACCAAAGTGCTTCACAGTAATATGGAGAGTTTATTAAATTATTGGAGCGTGTCCTGTCATGTTCTAATGAAGACCGTCTTTAGACCCAGGCCTGCTTGCTGCAGGCTTCAGTTAACTGTCAAGTCTAAAGTTAATTGTTCACCTGCACATTTCATTTTCACTGCTGTCACTTTGCATGCGAGCAGCTGGCTTTTCCTCATACTGGAGCTTGTTGAACAGGAAGTTTTAATGTTGATTACGGTAACAAGTGCTGCTGTTTTTGATGCTCGGAAAGAATTCCTCCATGCCACCTGAGCTCATCGTCGCGGTAACTGCTCTGCCTCTTTGCTCCAGATCTCTCCCTCTTTTTAAAATTTCCAAATGTTGCTGAAAACCTCATGTTGTGAGTTTTATAGAGTTCAGGGATTTTCAGAGATCATTCATTTAAAAAAAATATTAAATTTAAAAAAAGAAACTCTGTTAAAGCAGGCTCGTGGTATGCACAGAACCTCACGGTACTCACACTATACCGATTACTCCTATCCATGTTTATCTGTGTGGTCCACCCTAACCAGTGATATGAAAACAGTCCACTGATAAGACTTGTAAACAATGACAGAATAGAAAATCTATGGAGCAGTTGGTAATATTTGACAGACACTTGTTCTGCATCAGTATCTCACAACGTTCATGGCAGTGAACATGTGGGTAAAGCGAAACAGATTTACTTTGTGAGGCATTTCCAACGACACGGCCCTACAGAGAAAGGTCTGTCGGGATAGACCTCAGCATACTACGGAGCATAAATGATATGCACGACTACATCAAGCACCAGTCAATTTCTTACTTGAACTTGATTTATTTCAGCGTCTTCAGTTGGACAGTCTGCTGCTTCCTCCTAACAATAGAGGGTTTGTCACTTGCACCTCGTGGGAAACATGTTGACACTTACAGGGGAATGAGGTGTGGCAGCAACATTTTGGCACAACCTGCTGATACAAAATTATTTTAGTTACACAAGATAAACAGCGTTAGAAACAAGAGAATCTGCATATGCACTTGTTCTTACTCTGTGCAAAAACACATTTCCACAGACATTAGTAAGGAAGGACCAAGGCTCCATCCTCACCTTCATTACTGCAGTTGAAACCTTGGATCAGGACATGATCAGTTGTGGCAGCAGAAACCTGGAAAAAGGTAAACAGTGAGCTCAGCAGTTGATGCAGGGTTACTGGGACAAACACCATGGCTGATTACAAAAGCAATTCATTTTCAGATCAGCAACAAAAATTAAGTTGCAGGAAAAAAACAAAAACAGCTTTATTTGATGAGTACGGATCCACGAGTAATGCAGTGTGTACCAACATGTTTACCAGGACTCCAAACACAAGCAGTCGGGAGACCAACGATGCCATTTGTTGAGTTCATCTTGCACTGACTTTTGAACAAACCAGCTAACGAAGCAGCTGGCTGCAGATACCACACAGTGCTGCCATTGTGGCTCCAATTCACTTCTCCTTGAGATTAACATTCATTCTAACAGATCTTGTTTTTCCTTTTGCACATCTTGATTCACTGATTTAATCATGTGTCAGTCTGGTTTTCACTGTGGTGGACATTTACATCGTGGGAGTGATATGGATGCAGAAACGCGACGTACCGTTTACTGCTGCCTCAGTGCAGAAAGTCAGGTCAAGAGGAAAACCTGCCAGAAGGAGGTAGGATGGAGGTCAGCGGGACTTCAACAACACTCAGTTTGTGGTTACAGTGCAGCAGGTGTTCAGAGAGGCAGCTGTCACTCACACTTCAGAGCAGTTGAACATATTAAGCCAATCATCATTACTTGGTCTACAGCACATTAGTCCTCAAGCACGACTTACCGAGTTGGACTGAAGCGTCGTCTGCGACACCTGCAGGGAAACGGTACAGTTTCTCGTTTTAACAAGTTTTCAAACTGAAATTTCAGGTCAGTTTACAGAACACGCGAGGTCACCAACAGATGTTAGTCCTCATTAGTAACACTGCTGCGGAAAGTCTGCAGCAGTGGGTTGCAAGAGAATATATTGCTCTTTGCACTGCATAAGCTTTATGGCCCACTTGACAGAACCAGAGCTCATACTGTGCTAATCAACAGTCATGCGTGAAAGTAGTGTGTCATATTCATTTTGGTGCTTCACCACTGCTAAAGCAGGTTTTTGTTTTTTTAAAACACAGGAAGAAATGGATATTTAGCTGAGGCACCACAGCCAAGCAGATTATGGTTGGACTCTAAAGCCCATTTCTGTTGTTGAAGTGAAAACATCCACTGTTTATCTTCTGCTTTGTTGCTTGGATTAACAAATCTTTAATAGTGCTTTAGCTGAGGCTGACCCATGAGCGTTGCAACCAGACAAAAATCAGCCATTACAGTACAGTTTTGTTGAAACAAACATTAAATACAACTGACCACATGCACCATCGCAGCAGCAAGAACTGTAGAGCCACTGCTCCCCATCACATCCTGCAAAACGAGAAGTTTGTTAAATGGGAGGAGATGCAAACTTGTATGTCGAGTGTGTCAGGGCTCATTGTCACCACTAAGCAACCAATGATGCAGAGGTGAAAGCAAAACCTGATGTTCTATAGCCACTGTAGCCCAGGGATTAGTCCACAGTGCAGGAAAACCCCAGCAGGTGATTGCACTGTGGCATTGTGGGCAGATACCATATAAAAATATGCATACGATTCAGTTCATAACACCCAAGCTGCATTCTTTCAAACGGCAAGAGGTGCACTGCTCTTAATACTCTGGTTTCTTAATTAACAGCACCGTCTCCATGGTAATACAAGCTTAGATATATCAATAAGGCAGGCTTGCCTTGTTAACACTTGCTATGATAATAATGCATCGATGTACAATAGTTTTTGACTACAGGTTACCAGAAACAGTCTTGTCTCTACATTTATACGTTGCACTTCTGGAAACTTCTAAAGGACGGCTTTCACACTCATTTTACGTCGTGGGCCACATGCAGCCCACGTTGGTCTTCACAGGCCTTTTAGAGGACTTAATACAGACATTCAATTATTTCCAAGACCCTGACTGCGCGTCGTTGGAAGCTGATGACGTTTGAGCCTGCCGAATTTTGATTGGTTGACAAGTGAGCCGGAACAGAGCACGGAGCGATAGCAGAGCTCAGAGTACGAAAGAACCACGAAAAAACCCAGAGCGCAAAATATAAAGCAGGAAAAGCACAGACAGCGGCTGCAGCGACGCTTTTCATCATTTTAACTCTTTGTTTCACCTCAGCTTTTCTATTACAGCTTCGCTCTGTCGCGGCTGGCTCACAGACACGCTGTAACACATCCGGCACACTGCCTCCCTCCGACAACAGCGCGCACTGCAGGCTGACGGACAGGCCTCGGAGTGGAGCGGGCAGCAGAAGTGCCCTCTCTGCTCGGCCAGATATTCCTCGGGCACCCCACACTAACATACACGCCGGCCACGGCGCCTTCCACGTGCGTAGGTCGGGTCGTACTCCCCGCAGAAAGCTAACCAGGCCCTCCGGGAGTCCCGAAGTTAACACCCTGTGTTAACACCAGGTTCGAGCAAATCACAGAGTAAGGACTGTCCTGACTTTGTGATTCTGTGCGGTGAAACGCGATTCTAACCAGAGGAAAACCAGTCGACGGTTTATTTTTTTGTCGTTTTTAAAAATAAATTGGCGCATTGTTGGAAGCTTGTATACTAAAAAACGCGTACAGTTTTAGCGCCAAGCTAGGTGTTAGCTATGTTCACAGAGGTTTAAGAGCATCGCATTTAAGTTTTAAATAATAAAACGTATGCAACCACATATCTGTATACACACAGAGGACATAACTAACCAACACGCTCAGTTCGGCTTACCTCTCGTCCTCGCATGACGGACCGCAGAGAAAGGAACTCGAGACCCGGCGCAAAGCCCTTTATAGGAAGTGTTACGTCACTCGAAACCGGTTTTCGACACCTACTCACGCGACGCTGCAGATCCGATGCTAAGCAAATACAGTTCCAGCGTCGCTGATAGCAAGAGCCCATACTATTAATGTACAAAGCAGCTGTGTTTATCGCGAGTGTTCTTGTTTGTATAAATTGGTGTCACAATAGCAAATAGCCTTCCTGCAAAGTTTCTAGTGTTTGTGTCTCCACAGGATGCTCCTTTGTGTCTGCCATCACTCAATGCGTTCTACATACGTGACGCGTCTGCTCAGCCTCATTCATTTGAGGGCTTGGCAACAAAATATGCAAGACACGTGACAAGTGCTTTTAGCACAGAGACGTCCACTTTCGGATGAAACAGCAACAGTACTAAATGCAAATTTAAATACTGATCGCATTATGCAACCATCTGATACCAATGTGGTATCAGCATTATCAATCTTTGGATTGATCCGGTGTTCTGGTAATCCATCCTACCCGTTGTTTCTGCGCATGCGCACAACACGAAATTCAGTGGCAAATTGTCCTACCTTTATGAATATTAGCTAGAAAAATACTCTGACGGGTAAAATTAAGTGCCAAACCATGCTACCTTTGTGAATGTTACCTACAAGCATACTTTAACGGGTGAAATGACCATCTCTGTTTAACCTTTTGTGTTGACACACGAACGATTTCTAAACAAAACAGGAACTACATTAAAATTCATCGCAGAAAATTAACCAAACACAGCTGAACAATGAAGAAATAAGATTCTAAAATCCAATCAAGTCACAACAAACTATTCAGATCAAAGACTGCACCCAAGTACAAGCTGAGAGAAATGCTGAGCCTCCAAACTCCAGAAACTCACTGTAGTTTTCTTTTTACAAAAAAAGGTCAAAGAGGGCAAAGTGAAAGACTTGGGAATAATTCAGTTTCATTAAAAAAACAAACAAGGTTTTTCCAAAAGTTGTTTATTTTTTGTGGCACTAAGTCCTCTGACTTCATTAGATACCCCACAGACTCATGAGAACTATTCTGTTGGTGCAACAAAGCCATCTTCGGCCCAAAATGAACATGGCATCCTCAAAGTTACTTTGTGAAAACAGCAGAAGTGAAAGCATCAACCCCCCCTCCTACAAAAACACCATTCAAAGACAGCCAGCTCTTGGATGTGAATGCACATTTAAAACTCAGACATTTGACACAATTAAGGAAATAGTTTCCACTTTAATTCAAATTTCACCTAGAACATTTCACTGTAAGCAAACGGCAAACAAAGTGATGCTTAAAACTTCTGAATTCCCACGATTCGAGCAGGCAAATGTTTAAAAGAAAAGCACATTTAAAAACTGCTTTCAACAAATGTAAAATTTTGACAGTTTGTCCCTTTGGAGAAAAAAAAATAAATAAAAAAAATGACAACGGAAAAAACCCGTCTTGGACACAGAAGTCTAGAAACAGCAGGGTTTGTTAATGCATAAGAAGTCCCTCCAGGATTAAAAGGGCTCTGAACGAGCGGGTCGATGCACAACCGAGCAGTGACCCACACAATATTGTTTAGACCGCTACTGGGTGCCACCTAAAGTGTCATCACTTTCAGCTAAATTAACAATCATTTCTCAGCACATCAACACTACACTGTTCGTCCAACTTCAGCGCCTCTGTGTGCTCAGTCCACAGTCCTTTACTCCATAGAGTCGGGGTCTGCCTGGGCCATGTAGGCATCCAGTTCTGCGTCCAAATGTCCCTTAGTCTTTGACATGTAGGCATCCAGCTGGTTGTCCAGCTGCTCGCGAGTAACAGCCGGTCTACCGACACCTCGGCCACGTCCACGTCGCCCAGCAAAACCGCCACGTCCACGCAGCCCCCCGCGACCTGTCAAGCAACACAGAGCAGAAATCTTCAGGAGTTTGTTCAACTGAAGAGCAAATGTTTTGTTGGCTCTGAATTTAAAGTCCCCCTCACAAAGTCTTCAATAATCTTATCTTAGAGCCCTCAAAGAACCGCATCACCCCAACAGAGCACCTCGCTCCCAATCTGCTGCTTCACTTGTAGCTCATCAGATAATTGAAGTTTAAATGGGAGGCAGAGCCTTCAGCTTCTGTGGAAGAGCTCCCAGTCTGGATCCAGGAGACAGACACCCTCTGTCCTTTTTAAGATTAGGCTCAAACCTTTCCTTTTTAATAAAGCATATAGTTAAGGCTGGATCAGGTGACCCTGAATCCTTCCTTAGTTACTCTACAATAGGCCTAGGCTGCCAGGAGCTTCCCATGATGCACTTTATGCACCTTTATCCAGCTACAGCATTTACCCCACTCTACATTTAGTCATTAGTTATCACTTTTTGTTGTCCTGTGTCAGCGTCTCTACCGTAACATGAAGCACTTTGAGGCGAGCGCTGCTGTGACTTGCACTGTATGAATAAAACAGTTTTGAATAGATATTAAAAAATGACAGTTCACTGGTGCTACACAAATAAGCTGAATTAAATAACAATAAGCCCCTGACCTCTGGGCATTCCTCGAGCTGCTCCTCGGGACAGTGCTCCTCCTCTTCCAACACCTGCACCACGCTGGCGGCCTCCTCTACGCATTGCCATACGACCGGCAGAACCACGGCCTCGCATGGGCCCACCTGTAGAACCTCGCTTCCCTGTGTAATGCAAAGCCAACACTCAGTAGGAGCACGAAGCAAGACTTAAAAACGAAGCGACAGTCAAACCAACGTTTCTGAAAGCATTTCACTAGTCCCACATGGCATTAAGGTTGGCGGCCCGTCTCCTGCAGACATCCCAGGTACCAGTTGCCTAGGTAATTCTCTAATGCATTCAATGCTAGGCTACATGTCAATCAATGGCACCCTGCGCACTCATTGGTAGTCGCTTGCATGGACGTTGAGATGAGAGATAAGATCCTGGGTCCCACCTGCCAAATGTGTTTCACCATCTACAGTCTCCTGCAAATCACTTCCAGTATGTACACAGCTTAAAGGATGCCATTAGAATCCAGGCAGACACTGAAGTTTGTTGATACATACCTCTCAGGGACAGAGCTCCCCTCATTATGCCTCCTCTGCCTCGTCCCCGAAGACCTCCTCTGTTCATCCCGCGCATTCCTCCTCTGCCTCCAGGAGGTCCTCCACGCATCAGAGCCCCAACAGGCCGACCCAGCCGGGCTTGGATGTTGCTCTTCCCCAGTCGCTGCTTTAGGCTCTGACACATGTTAATTACAAATGCTACATTACAAAAGCAATTACGACAAAATTAAAATCAGTAAGCTGAATCCTCAGGAAATATCATCTTGCACATGGCAGTAACAGGAGCCTCGTAATGACCTGCGGCTCAGACTCACAGCAAGTCTTTACTGAACGAGGCCAGCGTGACCTACAGGTGCTGGGCAGGCTGGATTTCACGTGCTGCCACAGAGCTGCGATGAAGGCTGCAATCATGCTGCTCTGTGTGCATGCACACGTTTCACCCAGGACTCTCACACTCTGCACAAACGCTGCAGTCGACTCCAATCACAAACGTTAACAAATAAGAAATCAAATCTAAAATGCTGTCGGTACCTTAGCTGGATTCGTCCTTTGATTTTAATTTTGAAAGAGCCAGGAACTTGTTATTATAGACTACATCATTTTAAAAGGGCTTATACTTGTACAGGAGTTGTTCCAAAATCAAAGGGCTTTGAACATTTCTGTCAAAAAGGACATTTTAACTTGGACTCTGCAGTCAGTTTAAGGTTGCCATGAAAACTGAAACAAGCCCAGGGGATGATCGTCTTCCGACCCATTTTTCAATCCCCGTTATTTGGAAAGAACATTTGGAAATCAGAGCAGCGTGTGGAGAATTAAGTCACCCGAAACGTAAAAGAAATGCCTAATTGTCAAACACTGACCAGAGCTGTGAGCAGCAGAAGCTTTTCACATTTCAAACTGGGCTGTGGCAGTCCAAGGTTTGGGGAATGGCTGGAATAATAAACCGTTTTGGCACGATCGCTTTTACGTCATTGTTAATATAAAAATGGAAAAATCCAGGTGTTTTCCTATCAAACCTGATACCATCCCTCAGCATCACTGCTGACACTGTGGTTTGATGTCTGCAGGCTCCAGGTAATCTTTTTTTTTTTTAATTTCACATCACACTTTGTCCACAGACTGACCAGGTCAGAGACCAGCTGGAGGACTGGATGGATCCAAAATATTCAAGATGACAGATTCTGACTGGACCATAGATGCAGTTCAGCTTCGGTTGTGCTCTTTATTTACCCACTGCTGTGGTGAACAGCAGCATCAGAGAACCACGGGTGACTGATTTCCTTCTCTACTCACACACTCAGGCCACGTCCACATGGACACAGGTGTTTTTGGAAACTGAGATTTTCCGTTTAAATAAAAAAATCCCGTCAACATTTATATGCAAAAAACAAATTGAATAGCTTTCAAAAACGACCCAAAGCAACAGGTGGCGATATAATCAGGGCTGCACATAAGTGGTCCGCAGGTACACATGCGCTGTCAAAATGAAAGACGCGCACCAGATAAGAAATGACAACGCGCGTTTGCGTCCATATAAAAGGCCGTGTTTTTGTCCACTAGAGTGGGAATTTCACGGCACATTCCGCACCACATCTCTGTGCGTTCATCATTTGTTTGAAGCCAGCTCACCTCCTGCAACCACTTACGAGAATACGTGTTTCTTCGGACTCCTGCTATTTCTTTGGAGGTGGAGGAACATCACAGTAACTGCTTAAAGGAGCTTCTTCGACATCTTTAAGAGTTCTAAACAAATGTCTGTCCTCCTCCAGAAAATCTTATGTACGCAAACGCGCGTTGCAACTTCTTATCTGGTGCGCATCTTTTATTTTGACAGCGCATACGCACCTGCAGACCACTTATGTGCAGCCCTGTCTATAATCCTAACTGTGTAGAAATGTTAGCCAATCAGAAGTCGAGCAGCCTGGGAGGGAAAGCGTAAACAAAGATGTCTTTCTAAACTGTATTTGTATATGAAAGCATGTAAAAGCTGCAGATTAACAGCAACAATATTTTGTCAATATTGTAGAAATTCATCGCATGGAAACAATAACGTGTGATGCAAAAAAAAAGGTGCACACCCTTGGCGTTGAGTCCACACATAAAGTTTTTAAAAATCTGTTTTCAGTGATGCAAAACGCCGTGCACGTGTGGATGAAAGGCCCAACGCACAGAAGAAGCTGCGTTCTCAAAAACACTCGTGTACGTGTGGACGTAGCCTTAATTCGGGTTAAACATATTCAGATGGAACCAACAGTGCCACGGACACCAATTTCACCTGAGCGTCGCGCTCACCTGCTTGTGATTCAGAGCGGCTTGCACCGAAGGCCGGTTCTCCATCTGCTGGGCCAGCCGACGATTGCGGGCGCTAGCCAAATGCTGCTGTTGCATGGTGGCTCGAATGCTTACCGCAGTGGGTTGCTTGTTCTTCAGCATGTTAGTGAAGCTTTAGAGGTGGGAGGGAAAAAGAAGGAGGAAGTAAAAGAAGGGGACAGGGGATATACAGAGGAGGAGGAAGCAGGGTTCCACATCATGTCATTTCTCATATGGACGATCGTGGCAGCTCTTTAGTCATGTTAGACTTTGTTCCACTTGTTGGCACTTATTTTCTCTCTCAATCATATGATATTCCAGAGTTACTTACACTTGACTTTAGCCTGTGTTGTAAAATTAACACAAGGAGAAAAAACAGTTGAAAGCAGACTTCAGGACAGAAGGAGAGAGAAAGTTTCAGAAGAAGAGCCACAATTGCCACTTACGAGCCTCCAGCTGACACTGCAGGGATGTCATCATGTCGCAGCAGCAGAGGCCAGGGCATGAGGTGTGCTTTGGCACCCAGCCACTTACAGGATGGACCGTGACTTTATTTAAACCACCAAGTGGTCAGGAACTAGGGAACTGGGGGGAAGGGGTAGTCCCTTGTCACGTCCAAGCTAGGACTGAGTACTCTGAGCAGGGAAAGGAGAAAGAAGAAGAAGAAAGATGATAGAACACGAGGAGATAAAAAGCTTCACTTTTACTGGTCTGAGAGAGAAAAAGATGAGAGGCAGAAAAGACGAGATGCCCCATCTCACTGACTTAGCTTTAGCCCTCCTGTCCCATTTAATGGTGTATACATGACGTATACAGTGCTGTTTAAACAGGGAGCCAGCGTGCCGAGGCATTTACAGGATGGTGGTCTGGTTCTGCGTATGCTTTACCAACCACGACCGCTACAGTCACCCCTCGTCTACATGTGCGTGCTGCTCACACAAAACATTTGGCCTGGGCAAGCCCCTCCTGCCCCACACTTCATTTACATGTAACACAAACAAGGACAGGGCCAAGACAGTTGAATGAGCAGCGCACACACGGGAACAGCCAGAGCTGCATCCATATCAGGTTTGGTCCCAACAGTAGGTTCCGCAGAGAGTATCAGAACCTGCACAAGCCAAGGCTGGCAGCAGGTGACTAATTTCTGACAGGGTGCGTAGCCTCTCACCGCTCATTTAGGGACACTTTGGTGGTGCTTTTCAGGACAACTTTTTGGGAGGCAGCCGCACTCATTTTGAAAGACTTTGATTGTAGAGTCCTGGAAACAGAAAAGAGAATGTGTTTCACCTCCCTCTCTTTTACACATAATGTACGCACTACTACTAGAAGTTAAATTACCACTTTTAAGTCACTGTTGCAAGGAATTTGCTGTAATTAACATCAGCTGTTACACACGTGTTTAACAGAGAGATTATTTTGAGGACTACACACAGTGTCACACAAATCCTCCCTGTAGGAGTAACCCACGACCCCCTCCCACCCAAGCTACACTTCAGACCACCGCCAGTTTGGTTGACTTAGCAAAGTTTTCAACTTCTTTAAACTCTTTTCTGTGTCACCAGCAACAAAAGGGATCGATTCTTTAAGAGAACGTTTTAATTTTAACCCAATTGTCGATCACGTCCGGTGGAAAAATTAAATGTTTAGCGAGCGTCCATCCGGTTATAACAAACTGCAGAGACAAGAACACGGAGTAACGATTCCGCCTCGTCTTCGCTAGCATGTCGTTTATCGACGAACAACAACTTCGTCTCATACTTACAGCGGATTCTGCGTTGGTAGAGAAATGCCTCAAAGCTAGCTAAGGTTAGCTTTAGCAGCACGGCGGCTTCGTATAGGTGTCCGTGTATCCTGTTTAAATACAACTGACCATATACAGCTCCCCACGCACGCGCGGTTTGAAACAGCGCTTAGGTAAGCGACCCTATATCAAACTCTCCCAGGAATATTGTAATAACGCGGAAATCGAGACTCCTTCGCGATCCGAAAGCCTAAAATGGTGCTCCTGGCTACTGATGGGAAGAAAATGGAGAGGTTCTTGTGACGCTGACGTCACGAGGGCACGACTTCCTGTCCGCTCGCGCTGGTTCAGTAAAATGGCAGCTACAGCTTTAGTCGAAGGTTCTTCTGGTAACGATGCTGTTGCCGAGGGTTTGCTCGACCTCCTGAGACCAGCGATACAGCAGCTCGACCTGCATGTGAACTCGGTCAGGTAACTCGCGTCCTCGTTAGATTAGACCGCGCCAGCTTGTTGACAGTCAGCTGACTTTCCCCGTCAGACTGATTGTTTTGTTGTTCAGTTGTCTCTGGACTCACGTGACTCACGTTTCTTTACAGAAAAAGCCAAGTGGAATTAAGAGAACATATAGACGGTCTGGCCACAGGTAAGGTCCTGCTTCAAATATAGCATCAGCTATAAAAGATTCATAAATAACGTGCTGTGTGCGGTTTTTCAGAGTTATGCAGGATAAACGAACATCAGAAGGTGGCTCTGGACCTGGACCCATATGTAAAGAAGTTGCTGAATGCGAGGCGTAGAGTTGTGCTAGTAAACAACATCCTGCAGAACGCTCAGGTCAGTGACCAGTCTGTAGCTGATCTTCTTCTGTATCACGCTCTGCCCGTCAGCATGCCTACGATCAGCCTTCGTCACATCAGACATTAGGCAGGAAATTAGTATAATGTAATATTGGGCCCCTGTAAGGGAGGTATACTATAAATACTGTATGACGAGACTTGTAATTCCGATTTCCATGGCGACCACAGATATACTAACTATTCAAGTTACCTGAAAATGGTGTGAAAACGATATAGAAACATTACACAACCTGAGCTTTCTTTGTCCAGGAACGTCTGAGGCGGCTCAACCACAACGTGGCCAAAGAGACGGCGCGGAGGAAGACGATACTGGAGACATCGGGCGTCTTCGCTTCCCGCTCACCTAGTAAACCATGAACCTCACCTTGAACCTCCTGCTCCACACAGTAAATACTGTGAGCTATTTTGATCAGCAGGAACGGTTGATTGTGATTATAGGAAGCTAAAAACCAGGAGGGGCCGGTCTTCCTTTGACATTTGCTTGTCTTTTTGTTTAATACCTCGCTGATGTTCTGCTTTTGTCACAGTGAAAAAGCTGCTGTCTGCTTACCATTTGGCAACTTCAGAGTACGGGCTTGCACAGTGGAGATATTTATGTAATAATTCTAATGCACTCAATAAATAGATACACTATGTGGACAAAACTATAGGAGCCACAGCTCTTAATCTTTTGATGTTTTTATTGCCACAGGTGTGTGAAATCAATCACTGGCTTTGCAACCTGCCTCACAAACATTTGTGAAAGAATGGGTCATTCACTGTAAGGCAGTGTGGAAGTGTACAAGATGCCACTGTCGGTGAATCTTTACTCCACGATGATACACAATCAACTGGAAGTGGTATTCACTGGTGTCAAAAGTGGAAGTGTTGGAAACCCCAGTAACTCAGCAGAGTTAGGGCCTTATATATTTGGACACTGACACAAGTTGCTGTTGTTTTCTTTCTTTTTTTCTTTTACCCGTTTACTGAAACATATTCCAATTATATAATGGACACTGACATAATGTGCAGCTTTCATTTGAGACGATCTTCATCCAAATTGGATGAAGGGTTTAGGACACAGGTGTCGAACTCCAGGCCTCGAGGGCCGGTGTCCTGCAGGTTTTAGATGTGTCCTTGAACCAACACAGCTGATTGAAATGGCTAAATGACCTCCTCAACATGTCTTGAAGTTCTCCAGAGACTGGTAATGAAATAATCATTTGATTCAGGTGTGTTGACCCAGGGTGAGATCTAAAACTTGCAGGACACCGGCCCTCGAGGCCTGGAGTTCGACACCCCTGGTTTAGGAGTTTCAGCTCCTTAACATGTGCCACCTGCTTTTTAAACGAACCCAAAGTAATTGGACAAATGTGGGTGATTCCTTCGTTATGTCATTATCAATTAAGCAGATAAAAGGCCTGGAGTTGATTTGAGGTGTGGTGTTTGCATTTGGAAGACAACATGTGGTCAAAGGAGCTCTCCATGCAGGTGAAACAGGCCGTACTTAAACTGGAAACAGAAAAACTCATCTGAGAAATTGCTGCAATATTAGGAGTGGCAAAATCTTCAGATTGTACATCCTGAGAAAGAAAGAAAGCACTGGTGAACTCAGCAACACAAAAAGACCTGGACGTCCACAGAAGACAGCAGTGGTGGATGATCACAGAATCATTTCCACGGTGAAGAGAAACCCCATCACAACCAGGTGAACAACACTCTCCAGGAGAGGTAGCTGTATCGATGTCCAAGTCTAAATGCAGAGGGTTCACTGCAAGGTGCAGGCCGACCATAAGCCTCAAGAATAGAAAGGCTAGATTGGACTTTGATTAAACAAAAAGAACTGAAAAAGCCAGCACAGTTGTGGAAAAACATCCTTTGGACAGATGAAACCAAGATCAACCAGAACGATGGCAAGAAAACAGTATGACGAAGGTGTGGAACGGCTCGTGATCAGAAACATATCACATCATCTGTAAAACACAGTGATGGCTCGGGTGTGCATGGCTGCCAGTGGCACTGGGACACTGGTGTCTATTAACGATGTGACACAGGACAGAGGCAGCAGCGTGAACTCTGAGGTGTTCAGAGACAGCCTGTCTGCTCACATCCAGCTAAATGCAGTCAAACTGAATGTTCCATAGTTCAGATGGACAATGACCCAAAACAACCCAGTTTATCAAAGAAAAACAGTGGGATATTCTTAAATGGCCAAGTCAGTCACCTGATCCTAGCCCAGCTGAGCATTTCACTTACTGAAGACTGAACCTGAGACAGAAAGGCCCACAAACAAACAGCAACTGAAAGCTGCTGCAGTGACGGCCTGGCAGCATTAAACAGAAGGAAACCATCATCTGGTGATGTCCACGAGTCCAGACTTCAGGCTGTCAGTGTCAGCAAAGAGCTTTCAACCAAGTATTACAAGTGAACATTTTACTTTCAGTTATTTAATTTGTCCTTTTGAGCCCCTGAAATGAAGGGATTGTGTTTTAAAAAAGATCCAGGTCGTTTCATTTTTCTGCAATCATTTTGTTCAACCCACTGAATTACAGCTGAAAGTCTGCACTTCAGCTGCATCCAAGTTAATTAAAATGCATTGTGGTGAATTACAGAACCAAAATCAGCAAGTGTAATATGTAGGTGGCTCAGAACGTTTCTCCATGTAATGTACAGTAAATACTTCTATCCATGACGGCAATGTTAGAAATGTTGCTCCTGTAACAACATGCAAGAGAGAAGATGTGATGGACAGTTTCTTGGGTTGCTGCTGGAGGCACATGGAGGTCATTGGCTTCAGGACCTTCTCCTATGCAACATGACTAATGTCCTTTAAAGGCTGTATTTTAATCCAAACATTTTCCTAAAATAAACCTGAACATGATGTAAATTATTAAGACTTTGTATCAGAAAAGCCCCAAATGTAAACTACTGGCTCTCTGTGCTGATGTGATCTGAGTTTGTTTGTCCTGCAGTTACACAAGCACAGTGTTTGTTCCCTTAATGTTGTGGCTGTTTGTCCTGGAGTAGTTTCAAAGCAGACGCGTATTGTTAAGTACTTGGAGGGACTGTTTTGTTTAAACCAGAGTAGAAACTTACTTGTGGAAGGTAAACTCTCTGTACACGTTGAATTGTATGTTCAGCTATAGACACATTAAATACTTAAAGACACTTAAATGCAAATGTACCTGTAGAGCGTAGTGTCTTTAGTTGTCTGTATTTTTACCAAATCGTCACAGTACTGGGAGAAATGCGTGGTGTTCACAGATCTGACATTTTGGAAACAAAATGTTCTGTTTGGACTGCGAATGTTTCACTGAGTCCATTCTTCTGCAACAATCTCAGCACTTCTGGCTTGTTATTGGGAGACAGGATCTAAAATTTTCATTAGAAGGGTCACAGCTGATTTAAAACGATCATGGCATAGCCCCCTCCCCCCACGGACGTTACCGCAGTCTTCGTGTAAGGATTCTCCGAGTGCCATTTTCCCTGTTTTTGCTGCTAGAAGGCCAAAGTTGTGCTGTTGCACATGTAAATGACGTGTCAGTGAACTAACATGCGTTGTTGATGTATTCAGTGTGAGCTGGAGTCGTGCTCAAATACCGAGCCGTGCCGTTCCAGTTGGTGGTGGTGACTCGGGGCTAATCCTCAGCGGCGCCACTTTAGAAAAACAGTCTCGCGGGCCAATCTAGGCGAACCAGACAGTTCGTGGCTAGCGGTCCTGCTGTGAGAACCGCGGCGCGATTGGCCGAGAGGTGCGTGCCCTGTGACACCTGACCGCCGATTGGCTGCGGCGTGTCGAGACACTGACGCGCACGTCGTCTCCCAGCTATTGTTATTGTGGCGTGCACGAGAGGAAGGGGCAAGATGCACGAGGAGACAGTGGGTCTGATAAAGGGATGAAACAACTGAGAAACATCAAGCTAGCGCAGTAGAGCCACTGAGAAACGCTGGCTTTCTCCACTACAGGAATTCACAGAGAAATCCCCCCGTGAACACAGCGAGACACTCAGATCTAACAAAAATCGCTATAAACACAAACGGCAGCTCTGGGCAGCAGACACAGCACGCAGAGCTGTCGGAGTGCAACACTTGAGGCAATTGTCGAATAGCTCAGCGATCGTTCTGTCCAAGTTCTTCTCTACTTTGGCTGATGTGTAAGTAGAAATAGTTTCTCTATCTTTGATTCTATTTTTCGTCATTGCTGTTACGAAAGCGTGAGGAAGAGTCAAGTTAGCTTGCTAAATTGTTGCTTTTAATCTGCAACAACTGCTCTT